ATAATCTCCAGCCTGGCTATATTCTGTTAAGCCACTTGCTGAAAGCAGTTTCTTTCCCACACCATTTCCCCTTTTCTGTTTAAATAAAAAGGTTTTAACATTAACACAGAAAAATTACATATAACAAAACAGGTATCAAGCAAGAATTACAGTTACAATATTTATATCTATTTTTATCATAACTAAGTAAAACTATAACTATCCTTCAACTCCATCAAAGACCCCAGAAGAATATAATATTACCTAAGTAAACTTCCAAAACTCTAGAAATGACAGAGACATCTCGCTGCCTGGACAGTCGCTTCTGTACCATTGGGGCATCTATCTTTAGCCTACAGGCCCATAGTATCAAGCAGACTTTTCCACGAAGCAGGAAATTTCAAAGACAGTTCCACCTATATTGGCAGTTTGTCAGTCACTTTCTTCTGTGTCCTGCAGAATGCCTGGCAGACTCTTTCATGAAGCAGGGACCCTGAAGGACTTGTCTCATCTTCTTTAGGCAACTTCAGCAGTCATTTTTTTTTTTTGTGGGTCTTGCATGTCCAGTCAAGCAGTTCAGGCAAAAGCAGTTTCTTGCCCAAATGGCTAACAAACTCCATAAGGAGTCTCTTCAATGCCCATCATCCTCTTGAAGTAGATTGGTGCTGCCAGGAGCAGGTGTGTCTCATGCCATGAAAAGTCCTAAGTTATTAAAACATTTTAAATGCCATATTCTGTAGTCTTTGAAAGATCTGAAAATTATCTAACTGGAATATATCTCTATATATCTAGAAAACCTAACTAACATGTCTAAAAGTTTGACTATTATAGATGACTATTAACCTATATTTATTAATTAGTCATTAAATTTTAAAATGAACTGTGCAATCACAATACCTTAATCAAGAGCAGAAATATACATATAACAAGATCTACCTTAAATTTGTATCAATAGACAGAGATCAATACCAATGTAAAGTATTCATCTCTTTAGCACACACACATGCATAGAAACAGAGCCAAACAACTCTCTTGATCTCTCATGGCTCTGGAATGATCCTACACCCAGTACTCTCCCCTTGCTTGCAAGGTTGGTGAGCCCCATGGAAATGTCTTCAATCTCACTACATCTCCACATCTTCCTTAATCCCTAGGATACCTCTTGGAACCCTGTGTCTTTTCAGTCTAGTGGTCAGTCAATTCTCCAGTAACTTGTCCTCGAAGGGCACACTACAGTCTACAGGAGCTCTACAGGAGATCAGGAAACCTTGAGGAAAGAGAAGGGAAAAAAATCAGGGAAAACAGGCTAACATTTACTAACCACTAGCAGTGACAATACAGATGTGATGGTTTGAATCTGAAATGACTGCCATAGGATCATGTCTTGAATACTGGATCACCAGGTTTGTGGACTATTATTTTGAAGGAGTTTTTAGGAGATTGACTTGACTTATGGAAATAGGTCACTGGACCTGATATCTGTCTAGTGTCTGTGCTTCCTGCCAGTCACCATAACATCACTGTCACTCACTGCTGGTATCAGGAACTGAGCCACCTTGCATTCTCAGCCATGCCCTCTCCACCGTGATGGATGGTGACCCTCTAAAACAGTGACAAAAATCTTTCCTTGTCAGGAGTTGCGATGGTGGCCATAGAAATAACTAACACAACAATGCATTGATGTGTCAGCCACAATGTTCAATGCTTTCTTGTTTTAAAATATGTGTCTTTAAGTTTATAAATAAACATGATTTTATAGTCAAATGTATATGCTATTTAGTTGGTAGTGCTCACATAATTTGGGTGTGGTATACCCTTTATCTTATGAAATATTGCTGTGTTAATAGAAGCTTGGTGCTTTTGAATGCTATTCTTAGGAGAATATAAATCCACCAGCCCTCATCTTAATAACAATGATGGTTTATAATTGATCAGAAGTCTGGAGATCACTGTCCTTGACTCTGGAAATCTGAGATTCTGAGTGATTGTGAAGGAGATGCATGAATGACCCACTGATGTGCCTCAGATGACATCACTGAAGTTAAGGTGCCCAGTGTTGGCACAGAACTTGTGGGAGTAAACAACCAATGTCTGATTTGACTTACAGTCCACCCCATGAAAAGGAACCCATACCCAAGAGCAAGAGACTAGATAGCCTAGAGACTTAGGGCAAAACCAAACCCTACTGGTCTTTTTTTTTTTTTTTTTAAGTATCAATTGATTTCTAATGATATTCTGTTATACTCATAGATCAGTGCCTTTTTAGTCATCATCATAGAAGCCTCCTCTGGCAGCAGATGAGGTCAGATTCAGAAACTCACAGCCAGACATTGCATGGGGGGAGAGTTTAAGTAGGACGATGATTCCATCAAATACCCTCAGAGCTCAGGGAATCCGAGCCAGAGGTGATGGAGGACACCAGGAGAACAAGGCCCTCTGAATCAACTAAGCAAAGTGCGTTTGAGCTCACAGAGACTGAAGCAGCAAGCACAGGGTCTGCATAGGTCAGCACCAGGTCCTCTGACTCCTTAGTGTGAGAAGGAGCGCATGTCTGACTCTTGTGCCTGCTCTAGAGGCTTTTTCCCTCACATTGGGTGACCGTGTCCAACTTCAGTATGATGGTTTTGCTTTATCTTCTATATTTTATTTTGTCATGTTTAGTTGTTATCTCATAGGAGCCTGTTCTTTTCTAACGGGAGACAGAAAGGGAGTGGATCCCCAGAGGGGAGGTGAAGTGGGGAGGAGCTGGGAGGAG